ATGATTCATCAAGTGTGGTAGTGATGCCCTAAAGCATGAGTAATATTACTATATCCTACTTACACAACAACAGAAACTATAGATACAACTCCTTGATGATGCTCTTGAATTAATAGACACTGGGCAATAAAGATAAACTCCTGATCATAGGGATTACAGGAAAATGTAGTATACTGAACTAAAACAAAACATATCAAGTGCAAACTCAAATTTTTACTAATCATCTCTGCAATATTTTGCCTTTCACCAAATACTTTATACAGGCAAGAGAACCTGGCTGATCTCTACCAGATAGGTATTAACATCAGAAAACGAGTTTATTTTAAACAAAATAAAAAGTCAAGTAATGGTCTGTAGCTGTTTAGAATTAGTTATTCTCTCCAAATTCACAAATATATTCTAAAAATACAGTTTAAGCTTGCCCTGACAAAATTAACACAAAAATTAGCTGCCACATAAATTGCAATATTTCCTCTTTAACTTTTCAACAGAAACAAATTTAACAACAAAGTTCCTTTCATGGGCTTACTTTTGGACAATAGTAATAGCACAGCAGTAAAAAAAATTGTACCTGATTGAGGGGCTTCCTTCTCTAAGGTAAGGCTCAGGTAGGTCTTTCCCTTTGAAGGGTTCTTCATCAATGACTTCAAAAAGAGACAAGAAATTGTACACAAATACTATTTTTTTGGGAATTAAATGTTATATATAGTACACTTCTGTGTAAACATGTAAATAAATAGATTAAGCAAAATTCTAAAAATACCATCATTATCATTTACACTTTTAATCGCTATGGGATTATTAAATGGCTCATGTCATGCTTACAAACAGTAATTACCAAACATCTATTAAAAATAAGTCATAACATAAAATAAATCAAAGTTGTCAAGATCAAGTACAACTTTACACACAAATAAAACAGTCAAATTACCGAGCCATCTCAAGAATTTAAGAATCTTGAAAGCCTAAAACTATTGTCCACCTTACAAAAAATGCTTTCATTTTGGGATGTTTGGTCAAAAGACTGCTCAGTTGTTTACAACTACATAATAAAATATCAACTTACATTAGTTAAGAGCGTCTGTCTGGACTTTACATGCAACAAATGAAGATTTCCATTTCTTTCTCCAACCATCAGAAATTGACCTTCCTGACACAGTGCTACAACATCCACATCAGTGTCTATAACAGATTAAACAAAAAAAAATCAACCAGAAATTCAGGCAGCCACAAACAGAATGGGAACTAATGGGAGTGGTAAAGAAGAATATAATCTTATATGCTCCTATAATAAGGCAAATGAAACAGGTCTCAGAAATTGAAATTTTCTGTTTTTATGGTCAAGAATTCTCTCCTTAAGCCTCTCTACATCTCTATCCCGCTTTAAGATAATTCTGAAAACCTATCTCATTGAGTAAGCATTTGGCCATCTGCCTTATACAGTTCAATATCAAATGTTGCTTTATGGCAGTCACATGGAGCACCTTGGGGCATTTTACAACTAAAGATGCTATCTAAACTCAAGTTAGGAGTGCCACTTACCACTCACAGCACAAAAGAATTATATAAGCTCGGGTTATATAAACTGGCAGGATTTTTGAGGAATGCTGCCAAATCCAAGAAATTATCATTACAAGTTCATGGTCGGGTCCTCACAGTTACTCCTGCTAATTGTAGTTCTGAATGTCTACTCCACTAAATCTCTGTAGGACATTCTGGAGATTAAAAACAAAGCCAAAATAGCCAACAATACTCACCAAACTGGAGCTGCAACAGTACAGATTGACAAATTTGATCCAAAAGCAATACTGATTGGTCCACTACAACCACACAACCATCAGAGCTGCAAAACGCATGAAGCTTGGGACTGACTGTTATCTAAACGATAAAAGCAATAATAATTCTTTGTAGTAGCTTTTAAAATTAGTACAGTTAAAATAATTAAATAGTAAAAATACTTTAAGCTGCAGAATCATGTTTCATCCCAAATTTTTGCCTCATTTTTCTCGGAACAGCAAAGGCTGAAAAGCCATTTGACACTAAAGCAAACAAATGAGAAAGCAACTGATTCACTACTTAAAAAGAAACACTGAACAGGGAGAAAATTTGAAATTTTAAAATGCACCCATAGACATTTGTTGGAGGTGAACTGCGAATTGCCTGACTGCAGTGGAATCAGTCTGCACATATGTTAAACAGCACTCAATGAATTAGCTCCCATTTTGATCCTGAGTTTTAAACTGAATTATTTGATCTGTGGATTTCCATTAATAAAATGATTGTATTTCCAGATATAATTAAAATACATACTGTGGAATCTTTCCAGTCCCTGAATGATGTGGTCATTGCCAAAAATTTCTGAGAATCACATGAGATGGTCAGTGAGGAAATTCCCACCGTCAAAAGCAAAAAGCCCCATTTTCCAACCAATTATTGAATGGTGACATAAGATTCTCACCAGTGAGTGGTAAGACATCAATTTGTACACACAAACATCCTCATTATTGTATCATCTCACGTTATTGATATACAGTTTCCTATTCTTCCACCTGCCAAATACAAACTTGACAATTCCCAACATGAAAGTCAGAATGGTAACCTAGTGGTTCCACTTGCCATTTGCTCCTCAGGATCTCCATCAATCACCAACATCTCAGGGCATATTCCACTGGCAGTGATACACTTAACCCCTATCCACTACAACCTTCAGGTCGCTGTCAGCAAAGTGGACTGCCAATCATTCTCTGTCTGACATGTCCAGGGCAAATGAAAGTAATCATTCAGGGAAGTTGCAAGCTGCAACAATTGACCAGGTGCATATTTGGGCTGTGAAGGTGGCATCTGTGCCAGGAATCCCAGGATATCTCAGCAATGGTCAGTACTTCTGTCTGTGGTGAATAAGAGATGACAACAAGCAGGGTGCCAGAGGGGTGTGGTGCACAGATAATGAGACAAGTTTGGGAAAGATAGCCCAAGAAAACTGACTAGGGCCCAAAAAAAAAACCCTCAGTTAAACTTGCCAAAACCGACATTTAGCCAACTTTGGTAAAATTCAGCCTGTAGAGATTTTAAGTGTCAACTAAAAAATTACAGCGAACCAAATTACCACTGATCATTCAACCAGTGATGTAATTCAGGCACATTTGCTCCAAGAATTTACCCAATGACTGGCAAATGGAGACACAAGATGTTATCGTAACTGAAGTGATTTTCTGTTTTAGTAGAGAATTAATTTTAATTATTTCAAACATAAGTAATACCAACGAAGCATCTGGAACATTGCAAAGCATTGCAGCTTTACTGTTTTCTCATCATTATCCATCCCACCAGCCACTGTCCCATAAAAATAAAATCCTACCGTTGTTGAAGAGGATATTTTAACTATAGTATCCACTTGATAAAGGGCTGCACCACTCTCTTTTCTGGCCTCAATGTTTAACCGGCCACTGCCTGTATCATCATTTGTCAGAAGTTCAATATCATTCCACATCTCGAATAATTACTACAATCAAAGTACAAAAAAAAAATCAGAAACAGCTAATTTTATTTGATTAACTTTCTTTAAACATTATACCAAGATAAATAATTGATTTTTCCAACTATCTTCAAATTAACTTCATGAACAGAAGTAGTTAAAATGTAAATGAGCCAGAGATATTTATGTCTTGGTAACACTGAAATTGGTATCCTTGATTTATTACGTCCAGCAAAAACTTGCATTTTATATTACCTATGCTACAGAAATCATCCCTAGGCATTTCAAAAGTGTAATTAGAAAAGAAATGAACAGTGCAAAGAATGAACTAGTAAGCATGGTGTCCAAAGCTGAATCAATACTTAGTTTTAAGTAGTGTACTGAAGGAGAAAAATAATATAGAAGCAAACAGACTTGTACAGGCTAGAACATGGGCAAGATCTTTAAGGATGAACTGAAACTTCTCTATCATATGGATGGGAGGCTGCCGAGGAAAGCTTTGGAATAGTTCAGTCCACATAAGACAAAGGAAAAGTTGAGGGTTTCAGGAGCAAGGTAAAGACTATAAGAAACAGGAACAGCAGTAGACCGTTCAGCCCTCGAGCCTGCTCTGCCATTCAGTAGGATCAGGGCTGATTTGACATTCCTCACATCCACATTCCTTCCTTTGCCCAGTGACCCTTGATTGCCCTACTGATCAAGAATCTATCTTGGTCTTAAATATACACAAGGACTCTGGTCCAACAGCTCTCTTTGGCACAGAGTTCCAAAGACTCACAAACTTCTAAGAGAAGAAATTCCCCACCTCAATCTTAAATTGGCACTCCTTTATTCTGAGCTGATGCCCTCTAGTCCTGGACTCTCCCATGAGGGGAAACATCCCCCCAACAGTTGCCCTGTCGAGGCCCTTAAGAATTCTGTATGTTTCATAGAGATTACCTCTCATTCCTCAAAACTCCGAGTTCAACCTGTTTAGCCTTTGCTCATAACACAATCACTTCACTGTAGTGAACCTCTTTTGAACTTCTTCTAATTCATACTTCCCTTTAATAGGGGGGCCAAAACTGCTCACAGTATTCAAGATGTGGTCTCAGCGGCACCTTGTACAGTTGTAGTAAGTCTTCCCTACTCTTATACTCCAAGCCCCTTGAAATAAGGGCCAATATTGCATTAGCCTTCTGACTACCTCCTGCTTCCATGTGCCAGCTTGGTGTCTCAAGCACAGTTACCCACAAGTCCCTTTGTGTTGCAGCTTTCTGCAGTTTTTTCCCCCACTTACATAACACTGTTCTTTTGTTCTCCCTTCCAAAATGAACAAATTCACACTTTCCCACATTATAGCCCACTTGCCAACTTTTTGCCCACTTACTTATCAATATCATTCTGTAAACTTATTGTTTGCAACAAATCCAAAGGTGGCAGAGAGGTCATGCAAGAATAATACATCATGATCAGTGTCACAAGATGTCACTTTTCATTTTGATTAGAACCATTTCATTATGAAGCAGACTGAGAGGAGCGTGCAGCTAGTCAGCATTACTGTGAAGCACACCAGAAGAACATACTTGCATGAGAAAAGCAATGGCTGTGGGAGATTAAAAACTGGCAGCACGGAGCCCCTTCAACCTGCTTCTATCTATGAGAACCAAAGAATGATGTCATAGGAAAAGAGGCAGGTAACTGGTAGGCAAAATAGAAATTGCTGGCAAAAATCAAGAGGTCTGCCAGCATCTGTAGGGAATAAAAGCAGAGATAATGTTCTGAGTCTGCTGATTCTTCATCAGTTCTTCAAAAGGAAGTATTACAACTGTAGCTTATGAGAGCTGGAAGACCCTGTTCAGATCCAAGGTGATCACATCTGCAGCAAGTGTTGGCTCAGAGATAATAAGCTGGAATCCAAGGTGTGGTATAACTGCAACAGTCGGTGGCAGGGGGAGGAGGAAGTAGAAGAATAACCTCATGTTTTAGAAGACAGTCACACACCTTATATTAATCAAATTTGGTCAACAGTCAGAGACAGGATGCTGTGACCACCAGTGAGGTGGATATTAATCTCTAGAATTAACTTTTGGAACAACCTCAGCCAGTGCCCTTGTCCAAAAGGTATGAGCTTCTTGCTCCCAGTGTGGACAAGGGCACAGACTGCAAGAAGGATAAGTGAACTGACGAAAGCACCATAGTATAGAGTGTCATTCCAGTGGGGGGAAGGAAAGAGAATTTTGGGTTAGGGAAAGCAGGTTAGGAAAAAATACAGGGATAGTAAGAACTGCCGATGGTGGTGGGGATTGGTCCATAGGATGGGAGGAGCGGATAGGTGGGAGAGAACACGGACAGGTTGTGTCAGGTCAAGGAGGCGGGGATGAGAGGGAGGGTTGGTCATGGGATGAGGCCGGGGGTGGGGAGATTTTGAAACTAGTAAAGTCCACATTGAGTCATTGAGTTGTAGGCTCCCAAGGCGGAATATGAGGTGCTGCTCCTCCAGTTTCCGGGTGGTGTCATTGTGACACTGGAGGAGGCCCAGGATGGACATGTCGTTCAGGGAGTGGGAGGGGGAGCTGAAGTGGTTCGCGACTGGAAGGTGTTATCATTTGTCGCAAACAGAGCGCAGGTGCTCTACAAAGTGGTCTCCGAGCCTCCACTTGGTCTCGCTGATGTAGAGGAGGCCACATCAAGAGCAGCAGATGCAGTAGACTACATTGGATGCGCAGATGAACATCTGTCTGATGTTGGGAGGTTTTTTTGGTTCCTTGGATGGAGGTGAGGGGGGAGGTGTAGGGGCAGGTGTAGAACTTCCCGTGGTTGCAGGGAAAGGTGCCGGAGTTGGTGGGGCTAGTGGGGAGTGTGGAGCGGACGAGGGAGTCACAGAGAGAGCGGTCCCTACAGAAGGTACATAGGGGTGGGGAGGGAAATATATCCTTGGTTGTGAGGTCAGATTGCAGGTGGCAGAAGTGGCAGAAAATGATCCGATGAATCCAGAGGTTAGAGGGGTGATACGTGAGGACAAAGGGGATTCTGTCTTTGTTTTTGTTGCAGGGAGGGAATGTGAGGGCAGAGGTGCAGGAAACGTAAGAGATGCGGTCGAGATCATTTTTGACCACTGAAGGGGGGGAAGTTGTGGTCCTTGAAATAAGAGGACATCTGAAATGTTCGGGAGTGGAACGCCCCATCTTGGGAGCAGGCGCAGCGGAGGCAGAGGAATTGGGAGTAGGGGATTGCATTGTTGCAGGAAGGTGGGTGAGAGAAGGTGTAGTCTAGATAGCTGTGGGAGTCGGTGGGCTTGAAATACATATCGGTTTCGAGGCAGTCGGCAGAGAAGGCCAGGAAGGAGAGAGAGGTATCAGAGATGGTCCAGGTGAACTTGAGGTTGAGGTGAAAAGTGTCAATAAAGTTGTTGAACTGTTCAAGCTCCCACGAGGCAGCCCCAATACAGTCATCAATGTAGCAGAGGAAGAGGTGGGGGATAGTACCAGTGTAGCTGCGGAAGAGGGACTGTTCCACGTATCCTACGAAGAGGCAGGCATAGCTTGGGCCCATGCGGTTTCCCATGGCCACACCTTTAGTCTGTAGGAAGTGCGAGGAGTTGAAGGAGAAGTTGTTAAGAGCAAGGATGAGTTTGGTTAAACGGATGAAGGTGTTGGTGGAGGGGGACTGGTTGGGTCCATGGTAGAGGAAGAAGCGGAGGGCTTTTAGGCCATCTGTGTGAAATTTTAACATTTATTGCTAGGAGTTAAAGTTTTATTACAACCATACAGGTTGTTGGTGAGGCCACACCTAGAGTACTGGGTATAGTTTTGGTCCCTGTATTTAGAAAAGGTATACTGGCATTGATGGTTGTTCAAAACAGATTCACTAGGCTGATTCCTTGACTGAAGTGATTGACGTATAAAGAATTGCTAAGCAGGTTAGGTCTTTATTGATTAGAATTTAGAATAAAGGGATGATCTTTTTGAAACATACAGATTCTAAGGGGTTTGACATGGTAGAGATGTTGCAACTCGTTGGGGAATCTTGAACCAAGGGACATAACTACAAAATAAGGAGACATTCATATAAAACTGAGATGCAAAGAATTTCTTCTCCCAAAGAGTAGTGAATGCCTATAATCCGCTACCCAAATAGTGGAGGATAGATCACCAATACTTAATAAGTAGGGCAATAGATTTTTTAAGTATCAGGGAGTTGAGGTTTATGAAGAGATGCCACAAGAAAACAGTTGAGATCTGAGGCAGATCCGTCGTGATTTTATAGAATGGTGCGGCAAGCTTGAGGGGTTGGCTGACTCCTGCTCCTATTTCTTATGTTATTATGTTCCAGTGATGCAATAGGGGCAGGAGCGCAATTGGAGAGATTCCGAGGATTGTCAGTAAAATGGGAACATATTGTAACAACATAAAGAAATTTGCAAGAGATAAAAGCAAAATATTGAAGATGCTTCCAACATTGAATCGCATTTGACTCAAAATATTTGAACGTTTACAGCATAAAAGGCAACAATTCAACAAATCACATACTTGTTCGTTCTCTGCAAGAGCAATTTCACTAATCCCAATACCGCATTGCGTGCTTTTTGCTCTACAACTTTGTTCTCTTCAGGTGTTTATTTAACTCCCTTTGAAGCAATCACAATAATTTTAAGCAGTGCATTCCAAATTCTAACCAATCAAAGTTATTCTCCATCATCATTAGTAAAATGAAACCCAGCAACATTTAGTGTGGTGTTGAAAGGTCATTGGCCTGAAACATTCAACTAGCTTTCTATCTACAGATCCTGAGTGCTTCCAGTATTTTCTGTTTTTAATTTCCATCATCCAGACTTTTCTTTTCATACGTGGTTCAGCCAGATCTCGCAATGAATGATTAAAACAGTGCTGTGCCAGGCAGATGAGTTGTCTGCAACCCCAATTTGATATTTTTCCAGGACTTCCACTACTTGACTCCAGACATTATTTTGGACTGTTAGATATATATTACCTAAAATTTAGTGAGAGATCACCCATCACTCACCATAATCACAACAGTTACCTAAATGAAAGAATCATCAACAATAACTTTGACCAAAAGAGGAATCTCCTATCATTCGGCTACATTAATTCAACCTTCATGTTAATTTTCCTTCATAATATTTATAAAGTAGGAAATTTCTGGTCACACATTATCCAATATTATAAAGTTGCATGACAAACTAAAGGCAGTATGGAGGCCAAAGAGGGGTTGATGATCAGATTGAACTGAGTGTTGTCAACATGTGGAAATTTGCATTGGCTCAGATTTTGTGGACAGGACAAAACAACAGCACTCACCACTGATGCTGAGGAAAGTTTCACCTATAAAAGTCTGCCAATCTCTATGCTGTAGATTTTCCCTTTACAAATATTAGCTTGATTTTGATATCAAGTCAAAGGGATCTGCAGGGATCCTACAAAGGTGACATCACCAAGAAGGACAAGGAACCAATCACAAAGTATTTTCCACAGACAAATCAGGAAATAAAATTAATTTATTATTCTTCACATAATCAAAATTTACAGAGAAAATAAATGCACACTTGGGATTAATTTAGAAACTGTTCTTTTGTAAAATTGTGCAATTTTTAAATGGAGAAGATTCATATTCCACCCACACTAAACTGCTTTTCAAGATCAGGTTTTTCCTTGTAAACTAAATGCAGAATTGGAAACCCAAATATACCATTCGACATATACGAGAACAGCATCTCAAAAGTTCTCAGCAGTTCAGTTTTCAAATTGACTGCAGATTGAAGGGACCTCAACAATGCACCCAATGGAAACGCCACGAAACACTGACTGCAACTTCTGATTTCCAAGTTATATCGCACGAATACAGATTCCAGAAGTTGGCAGAGATAACAAGGTGTAAAGCTGGATGAACACAGCAGGCCAAGCAGCATCAGAGGAGCAGGAAGGCTGACGTTTCGGGCCTAGACCAGCATCTACAGTTCCTACTATCCCAGAAGTTGGCATCTGTTCACAACAATAACGATGATAAATGTCAACAGGTTAATTGACGTTATTACTGCAAAGTCGTTTTTTGGATAATGTTACCGAGGAGGATTACTTAAGATGAAAAACAGAACAGAACCAAAACTGGGATAGCAAGAAATGCAGATGCTGGAGTCAGAGACAACAGTGTGGAGCTGGAGGAACACAGCAGGCCAGGCAGCAGAGGAGCAGGAAAGTTGACGTTTCGGGTCGCGACCCTTCTTCAGACCTGGCCTGCTGTGTTCCTCCAGCTCCACTTTGTTATCTAGAACCAAAACTGGGTTGTCTAGGAACTTTAGGAGTGAGAGAAAGCACAATCCTGGCAGCTGATTCTCTTAACTACGACAGGATAGGGATACAGGTAAAAGCAGTCGCACTAATCTACACATCGAAGAGACAGGAAAGGTGTATCACGAATTCAAATGACAAAAAGGCAGTCAGTTCGTGATCTTCCAGTAATCAACACAAACTCGAACAACCGGAGTCTACAGCAAAACATTCATGTTAGTTTAACAAAAATGCAGTATGATCTTCCTTGGTTTCAAGTAGATGGTTCACAAACTGACCGCAGTGGTTCTCGTCTCCCTAGTTAATTCCAGTTAACTAATCGAAAGGCCGTAAATGCCGAGTCCTCCGCCAATCAGAGAAAACCAATTTTTGATCAAATGCATCAATTAAAATTATCCTTACCGTCAACACCAGACAAAAATGAATTAGAGGATCAAAAATGATTGCAAATCCTCTGTAGAGAAACTGATTTTTTTTTAAATTGGCGGGATTGTGCAAACTCCCAGCATTCACTGCGCCACGATGTAGTGGTTGGGGAAACTCCGCCCCCTACCGCGCGGGACGGTGCATTTTACCGCACCACGTGATCTGCAGCGTGCTAACGCTCACGGGAGAAAAGCTCCGCCCACAACGTCCCGATAGAGGAGCACGTGATCTGTTCCACATTCCCAACCGATTGGTTGTAGTCGTGGATGCCAACTTTGTAGAGACCAGTGTATGCAGTCTACATTTATTGACTGGTTCAAGCGCAGTAGCTGTACAAGATAGCTCAACATATTTAGAGATAGTATACAAGTTCCTTTTGTAAATATTTTGTGTTATTAAATTTCACAAAAAATTTTTGACACTACGACAGATGCATTACACCAACAAGCTGAGTTCCGGAAAAAAAAAGCCATTCCAAACTCGCAAAAATGTTGTCTTTTCTTCCTCTTTCCATTAATGCTGCCCAGATCTGCTGAGTTTCGCCAGCACTTTCTGATGTTATGTCAAATACCAGCATGTGCAATACTTTCCTTTTTGTTCCAGAAAAATTTTGCTCTTATATTTTCGTCATCGTCTTTTCTGTTTGGTTAAAAAAAATACCGTGGTGCAGTATAAGAGGGCATTTAATGCAGTAAAAAAGCAAAAATTCCAAATGTTCAAGTGTCTTACAGACTGGCTATTGACTTTAAATTGCAAAGACCTGCAAATAAGAGGTCCCAGATTAGTTATGACGATGCACTTTTAACAACATTTGATCAATATAGGGAAAGAACACATTTTTCAAATGATGTAAATGACTAAAACGGCAGTACAAATGGATTTTTTTAAAATTAGAATTGAATTTTGGATTTTAGATTAAGTCAATAGAAGTCTTTATGATTTCACTGATGACAAAAGTGCCAAAAATAACTGATAACTTTAACTTGACTCAGAGATAGTAGGAACTGCAGATGCTGGAGAATCCGAGACAACAAGGTGCAGGGCTGGATGAACACAGCAGGCCAAGCAGCATCATAGGAGCAGAGAGGCTGACGTTT